AAATACGAGCTGTTCCAAAATCTGAAGCTTTTTGAGTGTCAACATGACACTCAAAGGAAATTCTCCAAAGCGTTTCCAATTTTGGAGTTTCAGATTAGGGATGCTCAAGTGGTATAATGCAAATATTCCAAAACTCAAAAAAATCTGGAACACTTCTAGTCCTAAGCATTTTGGGTAAGGGTTACTCAACTTGCACTGTGTTTAATATAGCATATCTATTACTATAACTCTTCCTGTAGCTAGTACATGTGCTTCTCCGGGCTGATCTCAGCCCTAAGCTGCCTGCCTGTGATGCATTTAGGGCCCTGAGGGCTGTTAACGGGCTTTTGCACATTCATTTCTGCTTTCTCTTGTTGGCTGTTCTCTTGGGTATTCCTTAACAGTGCTTTCCTCTTCTGTTCATTCTCTTCTTTCGTGTCACCTGTTGCCTTTCTAGCACTCCAGCTTTTGTGTGAAAAGGCTCATCTCTTATAAACATTGTCATTCAGTCAACCCTGTAGAGACTTGGCTACGGTAACAAATTGAATATAATCTTCAGCTCATTCAGCTGTTCTTGTGGTACCATTCACAAAAGGAATTTGCAAGTCACCCTTCTTCCTCACTCTGCCATCACTTTTTTTTTTTTTGAATGTGGAGTCTTGCTCTGTCACCCAGGCTGGAGTGTAGAGGCGCGATCTTGGCTTACTACAACCTCCATCTCCTGGGTTCAAGCAGTTCTCCTGCCTCAATCTCCTGAGTAGCTAGGATTACAGGCCCAGCTAATTTTTGCATTTTTAGTAGAGACGGGGTTTCACCATGTTGACCAGGCTGGTCTTGAACTCCTGACCTCAGGTGATCTGTCCGCCTTGGCCTCCCAAAGTGCTGGGATTACAGGTGTGAGCCACTGCATCTGGCCACTCCACCATCACTTTATCCTGCCTGTACTCCCCAGTTCCCCTCCACCAGTGTTTCCAGATCCAGAGCCATTTAGACATAGGGTATACAGAAAGTTGTGGTTTTGTTATTTTAAGATTTTAAAGCTCACTTCAATGTAAGGAAGTTAGTATATGTCTGTGCTATGAGGAAAAGTTGATTCTGAATGGGTTGGTTTAATTCCTGCAGTCTTAGATAAGAACTTGTTATTCATGTAAACATACAGTTTCAAAGAGAAAGCCGATTAAAATTATTTATACTTACATAAATCTATGAGTAAGATGAAGTCAAATGAAAGGATTTCATTTCATTTCTGAGAAGAAATTTATGTCTCACTTGCTGTTTCTCAACAATATTGTATAATTTTATTTCTAATTTTTAGAAATAAGCAAACTAACTCAATGGGAAAACAATTCTTAAAATTTGTTTGATATTTGTGTGACCCTTTAGCTCAGAAAGGGATAAAAGATTTATAAAAATAAGTGAAACAAAGGATACACTTGGCTTGAATGTATGAAGTATTTAAGTAAGTCTTTCTAAACATTTTATATCATTTGATGGAACTGTAAATCTCCCGAACAAAAAATATTTGATGGGGAGGACTTTTATGAAAGTCAAAGCAACATTTCTTTTTTCCTATTTCCTAAAGGCTGCTGTTGAAAAAATCTGGTTGCCGAACACCACGGATTGAATTGGAAGAGATGGGACCCTCATTGGATCTGGTTCTGCGGAGGACACACCTGGCATCGGATGACCTTTATAAATTATCTATGAAAATGCCAAAAGCTCTCAAGGTATGTGACTTAGAGCTTGGTGCCATATTTATTTGTATATTCTACTTTAATCTTTTTTCTTTCCAAAAAGAATTTGTGGCATATTATACGAAAAGGCAAGGACATACATAAAGAAATCAACAAAATAGATTAAACTAGGACTCTCAGAGCCAGGGAAAGGAGAGAGAACCAAATAAGCCAACAATAAGGGATAATAAAAAAGAGTTGCAAAACCCAGGCATGAGGTTTGGCTGAGTGCTTTCCGATAGTCAAGACTGCTGTTTTCAGCAAAAAAAAGAGTTGTTTGGGACACTGTGAAGACTGGGGATTTAGAGCACAGGGTATATAAACCATATGTGTATAAAATGTGTTTTGACTTTTTAAGTAGTTTTAAAAGACAAGTAGAAATGTAATCTCTAAAATGCCAGTAAAAATTGAAATAATAGTCACAACTCCTTAAGCTAAATACAGGATATTCTCTCGTGTGGCAGTGGTTAGTGTAGTCTATAGTTTTATTTTTTAAAGTGTGATCTGGCAGTTCACCTGGGAATTGTGCAGAGTATCAGGCCCTACCCCAGACCTACTGAATTAGGATCTGTATTTTAGCAAGATCCCAAGTGATTTGTATGCACACTTAAGTTTTTAAAAATTTATTTATTTATTTATTTTGGCTGGCATAACAGAATATGCACACTTAAGTTTGAGAAGAAAGGTGTACAAGGCTATACATTCTGTGTCATTGAAGGGGTAGGCACTAGTAGAAATTGCTACTAAGATAGTTGTTACAGACTAGGTTTTTACTGGCTCATTATAGTACAAGGACATTAAATATATACATATTCTTTTATCATAGCCAAAGAAGAAGAAAAATATCTCCCATGATACTTTTGGCACAACTTATGGAAGGATTCATATGCAGAAGCAAGACCTAAGCAAACTACAAACCAGGAAAATGAAGGGGTTGAAGAAGCGACCTGCAGAAAGGATAACAGAAGACCAGGAGAAAAAGTCAAAAAGAATTAAAAAAAATTGATGGAACTTAGCCAATCACTGCTGTTTCATTGTGTTCTACTTGAGAATTGTCAAGCGCCAATCCATTCAGAGTTTCTTACAAGATCTTATTGTATATTTTAATAACATAATAATTTTACTATATATTATTATGAACGTAATATACTAGTATTAAGTGTAAAGTAAGCCTCTTACTTGAGATATTACACCCTGGTGTGCCATTTTCTCTTGTGATATCCCCTGCCCTCCACAGATTCTTCTTTCTCGCTTGGAGGATGGATGGGTGAGGAGGCTCTCCAACCATTGGGATTTTTTTGAATTTCTGTCCTTAGCTAAAGAAAGCCACATAAAGCAGAAATGACCCACAGGGGCTGTGTACACACTCTTAATATGAACTACCTAGAGAATTAACCTCTTCTCCCAGCATAGATCTACAACCCCATTTTTATTTTTTACTTTTCTGTTATTTTGCCTGAAATCCTACCACCAGTTGACATTTGAGATTTTAAACTTTGTGTCTGAAAATATATATCTCTGAGAGGGGCGTTTACTATCTAATTATTGATACATTACCCAGATTGTTGTAAGAGACTCTTCTACTAAGTAGAGCCCCACCCTGTTTCTCTGAGAGGAAGCCTGTGTTTTTTGGTTTGTTTGTTGTTTTTAAGAGGTGGGGTCTTGTTCTGTCACCTAGGGTGGAGTGTGGTGGCACAATCAGCTAATTGCTGTCTCGAATTCCTGGGCTCAGGTGATCCTCCCGCCTCACTGGAACCACAGGAACCACAGATGTTAGTCCACTGTGCCTGGCAGTCCACTGTGCCTGGCTTGGTAGAAAAGAAGGTTTGTTGTTTTTTTTGTTTTTTTTTTGAGATGGAGTCTTGCTCCTGTCGCCCAGGCTGGAGTGCGGTGGCACGATCTCAGCTCACTGCAACCCCTGCCTCCTGGGTTCAAGCGATTCTCCTGCTTCAGCCTCCTGAGTAGCTGGGACTGCAGGCACTTGCCATCATGCCTGGCTAACTTTTTGTATTTTTTACATAGAGATGGGGTTTCATTGTGTTAGCCAGGATGATCTTGATATCCTGACCTTGTGATCCACCCGCAACGGCCTCCCAAAGTGCTGGGATTACAGGCATGAGCCACTGTACCCAGCCAGAGAGGTAGTTTTTATAGGGGTAGAAATGAAAAAGGAGGAAATAGGTTAGTTTTAAGGCGCAAGGCACTTTAGGGTACTGGGTAGCCCTAGGTAACTAAAGGTTGCATGAAGAGCCTGGGCGTTTGCAGATGGTGTAGAAGCCAGCCAAAGCCTAACTACCTGTTTTGAAAGTTTCTTGAAGATAGGCCCTGTGCCTAGGAAAATAGACTTCTTCCTCCTACTAGTATTGCATACTTGTTTTTCCAGAATAGGGTGTTAAGTTCCTTAATTCAGTCCCTGACAAAGAATCTCCTTTATGCAAGTGCCAGTTATGTTGTAAAAGTAGACGTGCAAATCATAATTTGTTACATGAAGTAGCAATGCTTTTATTTTTGTTGTTTTTTGAGACAAAGTCTTGCTCTGTGGCTCAGGCTGGAGTGCAGTGGCATGATCTCAGTTCACTACAACCTCCACCTCCCAGGTTCAAATGATTCTTCTGTCTCAAGCCTCCCCAGTAGCTGGGATTACAGGTGCCCACCACCATGCCTGGCTAATTTTTTGTATATTTAATAGAGACAGGGTTTCACTTCAATTCCATGTTGGAGAGCTCCTCCATGCCTGTGTGTGCATGCATTTATCTAAGCTTGCTTGGCTACAGAACAATGCTGGCACTAAGCAAAAATTCAAACCTCGGCTTTACCTCTACCCTTCCCCTTCTCTTGTGAATCCATTCCTTAGCTTTCCCTAGTCCTCTCCAGATGGCTGTTATCTCTTGCCGGAAAAATGAGGGAGCTGGTATCTTTTGTACTTTTTGTTTGATTATACTTTTCTTTATTATACTTAAAATGTTCTAAGGTACATGTGCAGAACGTGCAGGTTTGTTACATAGGTATACACATGCCATGGAGATTTGCTGCATCCATCCCTCTGTCATCTACATTAGATATTTCTCCTAATGTTATCCTTCCCCACCCCCTGCTATCCCTCCTCTAGCCTCCCACCCCTTGATGGGCCCCAGTGTGTGATGTTCCCCTTCCTGTGTCCATGTGTTCTCATTGTTCAACACCCACTTATGAGTGAGAACATGCGGTGTTTGGTTTTTGTTTGATTATACATTTAATCAAAGACCATACAGTCTTGTATCTGAATCAGGCATTTGCACTTTATATCTAAATGAGAAGAAAGGGCTAAAATAATTTATTTGCTGCCATCTACAGGTAGATGGACAATAGCTGAGGAGAAGCGGAGCCATGAAAAGAACATCAGGAGTGATGGATGCATAGTCCTTCCCCAAAGCCTCACTCCTCACTGGTAGGCAAAGCAGTGGGTCCTCCTCATCTGCCGCTTACAGGACCTCTCTATCAGGAAGACCTACCCCAGCACTTCTGGAAAATCAGTCAATCAACCCAGAGACGGCCATGTTTTCTGTATGTGAGATGTCTCAAGGGTGTTTTTATCTGTTTTAATCAGTAACCCGCTTGTTTGAGATTTAGCAACACATCTCTATTTTCTAGATCGTTTCTATGTCTGATGATAGAGAACCTAATAAGTATTGGAATGCTTTTGCTTTGCTTATAGAAATACTATATCTATTACTGAAGTTTAACAAAGGCTTTATTGAGAAGACTTGTAGTGTTGAACCATCTGTTAACTCTTGAGCCACCATTTATATCACTTTTTGTGGAAAGCACATCTTAATTTTCAGTTGTCCTTAATTTAGAATACAACATATACAAATTAGAGACCATGTATTCATTTCAATGGAGGTGGTAAATTGCCTGTTTTAAGTTTTACTTAATGTTGTATTTTGGTAGATGAGGAAGGCAGTTTGGTTTTTTTGTTTTGTTTTAAATACCAAACTTCTTATATTTTTTTCTTGAATATTAATACTATTATAAGCTATTTATTATTTCATGGAATTTGGGTTTTTTTTTTTAAGTGTTGTTGTTGTTTTTTTTTTGTTATTGAACATAATCCAAAGTAGAGATGTTACTACCTAATTCAAGAAAAGAAAGAGGAAATAAAACTTAGCTTAAAGTCAGTTTTCATTTATCTGATTAGCTACTTACGATCTCTTTCCTTTATATTTTTGGCTATTTCAGGCCAAGAAAGGAAGGCTTTAAAATGGAAGAAGTTAAAACTACTAAAGCCATTGCTAATATCTGAACAACAAAGGGAGGTTTGCTTTTATTGAATTTCAGAAGTTGGTGCTTTGTCCACCATAAAATTAAGAGACAGTGCAAAAAATACAGGCTTCATTATGTTCTTAATGCACTTTTACTTGGAAATAGTCAAAACATAACTGCACTTAAGACAAATTCATCCTAGTATACATACATTATGAAATTATTTAGAATACTGTTCCATTTCATTGAAAGAAGCTATTCAGAACAAGAAGTTAAAATGGGCTTGCTGACTTAAGGTGCATGCTAGCTGTGAGAAGAAAATTAGCTTGCTTGCATTTAGATGTTAATTGTTTGCGTCTCATACCAACAATTCAAGCTGCTCATTTAAAAACAGCAAGGATGTCATTGTGTTTCCTGTATCATCCAGAGTGTGCCAGTTAGACTATGGTAGAAATTTTTATTTTGCCATCATTGAATTGAAGCTATTCTGTACTCTTTTTCCATTTCAGAGCTCTTTGGGAAAAAGTTTTTATTTTGTTATTATTTTTTTGGAGACAGAATCTCACTCTGTCACCCAGGCTGGAGTGCAGTGATGCGATCCTCGGCTCACTGCAACCTCCGCCTCCTGAGTTCAGGTGACTCTTGTGCCTCGGCCTCCCAAGTAGCTGGGATTACAGGCATGCGTACCACACTTAGCTAATTTTTGTATTTTTAGTAGAGACAGCATTTCACCATGTTGGCCAGGCTGGTCTCAAAGTCCTGACCTCAGGTGATCCGCCTGCCTCAGCCTCCCAAAGTGCTGGGATTACACACGTGTGCCACTGTGCCCAGCTGAGAAAAATTTTTTAAATATAGCATAAATACATTTTATTTATTAGGAACCAGGTGTCATTCTGTTGCACAGGCTAGGGTGCAGTGGTACAGTCATAGCTCACTGCAGCTGGGCTCAAACAATCCCCTTGCCTCAGCTTCCCAAGCACTTGGGACCACCGGCAGGTGCTACCACAGCTGGGCTAGTTTTTTTGTTTGTATTTTTTTGTGAGACAGTGTTTCACTATGTTGCCCAGGCTGGTCTTGAACTCCTGGCCTCAAGCAGTCCTCCCGCCGCAGCTTTCCAGGGCATTGAGATTACAGGTGTGAGCCACAGTGTCCAGCCCATAAATGCGCTTTGATTCTGTTCTTGTTTTTCCATTAAACTTCTGTCCTTCCTTCCCCAACCCGTCTCACTCCCACCCCCATTCCTCTCACACACACTCAAGGAATGAGAAAGTGGGTTCCAAACAGGGAGAAAATGCTAGTTCTGGTTTCATACAAGCTGAGCTTGTATGAAAGAAGGCAGATAAGCGAGAAATGGCAAAGTATCTAGAACTCAGCAGTTAGGGCTTTTGCCAAGAAAAGATCAACGCCCTGAGCTATAAGTGCTTGCCTGGATTGGGATTGATTCCTTAAACTGAAAACCAGGCTTCTGAGGGCTCAGACAGAAGCAGAGTGGCAGGTGTTGGCTCTGTGAAGCATGCCCTCCCACCCAGCTGGAAACAGGGCTGCACAGGCACCATCTGTGGACACTAAATCATCATTGGTAGGAGAAGGCACCTGCAAGCAGAGTTAGAGCCGGGCTAAAGTCCAGCGTGTGTTCTGGTAACTCCCTCTGTCCCTCTTACACACTGTACACGAGCTCTGAAAGAGGTTCCTGAAAGGCAAAGCACAGCCTATATAATTTCTGCATTTGAAATAGAGTTTGAAGATTCACATTTATCAGCTTGAGCAAACAGTTTATTTTCCCACTCTCCTACCTGATTTCCCCTGAGTCACTTAACTGACAAAGCAAATGGCATAGCGACTTGACTGATTAGAGAGTTTAGATGATATCACCTGCAACAGCACCTCCGGCTCAGACTTTCAGGGGTACCTCTGGGTTTATGGCACTGAGAGAAAGAGCATGAGATACTGTCCCCAGGAGGCCCCATTTCTTCCATTTGGATCCCCAGTCAAAGCTAGTCAACGCCACAAATATGTTTTGAATTTTACCCCCAGCACCTTCCTCCATTAAGGGGGACCTTGGGGAAGGATTGGACAGAATCTTGAAAAATCCATCAATAAAGCTCAAGTGGCAGCATCACCATATGGGCGGGAGAGCATGTGGGAGTGGCAGACAGGGCAGCATTGTGGAAAGGAGTGCCGCATTGAAAGAAACCACACATGGGGAAGCAAAACACCCGAGGGTGAGAAAAACTCTATCAAAAAAAAAAAAAAAGACGACACAACCCTCTCCTGCTATACTCTGAGAGCTCAGCTGAGATTTAAAAGGACATAAAACCATGGGCAACACCAATTAGTAATATGATTCTCTAAGGGGAGTAGGAAAATGTTTGCAGACTCAAGACAGGCAAAGGGCAATCAGTGTGGCTTTGTTTTGTGTTAGTAGCAGTAGCAGTATGACAAAGAACTTCAAAAGGGAACCTGATAAGTCAACTGGTATAATACTGACTGATGAAATTCCCATGTTATCTCCGTTCTTAGAAAATGAGAGAAGTAACCATCATGAATGAGAAGTGGGGCTCCCGAAAGTAATTTCATCCTAACCTCAAGGTGGGTGACATATGGCATGGAAATTCCTGGCTGCTTGAAATAACTTTGAGTCTCCATCCCCAACATGCGCATTCAGTTAATCTTGAAGGAACTGTGGGGATGTAGAATGAGGCAGAGAACTGGTGACAGATGTCTTCTACTTTTGACTCTGGCAAAATTATAAGAAGAATCGTTAGGTAAGTAATAAGAGCTCATGAGTTCTTTCTCAGAATTGGAAATAGTCATTGCTAGGAGCCAGCCGAGGATCCCTTAAAGCTAAGAGTGTTAACCCATTTCCTTTTTTAAAACAGATGCTTTCCTGGTAGCTAAAGTGTTGAAGTCAAATCTAGATTCTAGATGAATCTCTAAATTTGTTTTACTTGGGAGAAAGAATTGTAACCATAATAAATTCGTTGCCTGAGGCACACAGCAAGTCAATAAGCTGAGACACCAGGTTGCAGCAGAGAAAGAAGAATCATAGAAATTTGAACCAGGAGGCCAGGCATGGTGGCTCACACCTGTAATCCCAGCACTTTGGGAGGACTAGCTGGATGGATCGCTTATGCTCAGAAGTTCAATAACAGCCTGCCCAACATGGCGAAATCCTGTCTGCTAAAAATACAAAAATTAGCCGGGCACTGTAGTGCAGCTACTCAGGAGGCTGAGGTAGGAGAATCACTCCAACTCAGAAGGTGGAGGTTGCAGTGAGCTGAGATCTCACCACTGTGCTCCAGCCTGGATGACAGAGTGAGACCCTGTCTCAAGAGAAAAAAAGCGAAAAGAAAGAAATCTGAACAAGGAGTTGGGAAGAAACCTCAGATACAACTCGCGAATTTGAGGGTAGGAGTATTCAGGGTTTTGGAGATTGTTAATTGATCAAAGAGTACAGGGTGAAGTCATAGGACAGGGAGATGAAGAAAATATTTTCATGCTGATCTCCTTCCTCTGGTGGGATCTTCAACCTGGTTTTCATCAGTTGTTTTGTTTCATCAGTTGTATCTCAGGGTCTGAGAAATATCTTCTGTTTGTTTTTGTTTTTTGAGACAGGGCTTGCTCTGTCACCCAGTCTGATTATAGCTCACTGCAACCTCGAATTCCTTGGGCTCAGGCAGTCCTCCAAACTCAGCCTCCCAAATAGCTAGAACTACAGGTGGACACCACCAGAGCCAGCTAATTTTTTAATATTTTTGTAGGTAGATATGGAGTCTCACTGTGTTCCCCAAGCTGACTGAACTCTTCGCCTCAAGCAGTCCTCTCTCCTTGGCCTCCCAAAGTGCTGGGATTTCAGGCTCTCACCACCACACCTGTCCCTGAAAAACATTTTAAGTGATCCTTAAACAAAAGTGTTATGATTCCAGATCCTATCTGAAGGAACAATGGGCACGCAAGTCAATTCTTAGACTTATGATCCTGATGTCAGGGATGCAGATGGTCAGTATCTCGTGCTATGTGACTTAGCAACAAGGAGTGGGCCAAGGTGCAGCCTGATTTATGCTAAATTATATACATTTCTGGTCAGGACTTGGCATGCAATTCTTGTTAACCCTATGGGAGCGGTTTCAGAATTATAAGTTGGGGCATACATGCAGACTGAGTGGCCTTCGGAATGTCTGAAGAACAAAGAAAAGGCCAGAGGATTTATTAAATAGGAGAAATGTTATATATTGCTCTTTGAGAAAGTTTGTTGGCACTAGTATGGGTTTGGGGAGCTGGCAAGCTCTGATTGGTGAGTGACAGCAGAGGGCAAAATGAGTCCTAGAATTGTAGCAAGTTATCTCAGAAGCTGTAGATAAAACTGGTTTAGGCTTACAACAAGCAGTTTCAGCAGCCAGGCTTACAAATAAATGATATTCTTATATCATGTTTATATCATGATAGTCTTATAGCAATGTTTTGTACCCTGAGTGCTTTTTCCTCTTGGCTTCTTAACTCTGTTTTAGTTGGATCTGATAAGAATGACCCAGCTCTTTTTTTTTTTTGAGACAGAGCCTTGCTGTGTCGCCAGGCGCCAGGCTGAAGTGCAATGGCACAATCTTGGCTCACTGCAATCTCCGCCCCCTGGGTTCAAGCAATTCTTCTGCCTCAGCCTCCCGAGTAGCTGGGACTACAGGTGCGCGCCACTGCACCCAGCTAATTTTTGTATTTTTAAATAGAGATGGGGTTTCACCATGTTGGCCAGGATGGTCTCGATCTCTTGACCTCGTGATCTGCCTGCCTTGGCCTCCCAAAGTGCTGGGATTACAGGCGTGAGCCACCATGCCCAGCCAACCCAGTTCTTATTGATCAACTTTCACAGGGCAAAAACCATTCACTCCACATTTATCAAGCATTATTATGCTTCAGGCATTGGGATAGAATAACAACTGACGCTGTATATGTTTACAATTAAGAAAGCATTTTCTCTCTCTCTGTTTTTTTTTTTTTTTTTTTTTTTTTGAGACAGAGTCCTGTTCTGTCGCTCCAGGCTGGAGTGCAGTGGTTCAGATCTCCACTCACTGCAACCTCCACCTCCTCGGTTCGAGTGATTCTCCTGCCTTAGCCTCCTGAGTAACTAGGATTACAGGCACCTGTCACCACGCCCAGCTAATTTTTGAATTTTTAGTAGAGACGGGATTTCACCATGTTGGCCAGGAACTCCTGACCTCAGGTGATCTGCCCGCCTCAGCCTCCCAAAGTGCTGGGATTACAGGCCTGAGCCACCATGCCAGGCCAAGCATTTTCTTTCAAGTACAAGGAATATTGTTTCTGATTAAAACAAACACAAAAACAATTTTTTCTGATAATCAATGGGAAAGTTGCAAAGATGAAAATAAGTCACCTGTAATCTCACTACCCAGAGATACCATTATTAACATTTTGCTGTATTTCTTACTACTTAAAAAAAAATACACAGTTTTAAGCTGGGTGGGGTGGTGCGCCTGTAGACCCAGTGTAACTGTCCAACGGGTTCACGGTGCCAGCTGCTTAGACAGAGCCGATTTATCAGTACAGGGGAATTGCAGAGTAAGACTAATTCATGCAGAACTGGCTGTGCAGGAGACCAGAATTTTATTATTACCCAAATCAGTCTCCCTGAGCATTTGGGGATCAGAGTTTTTAAAGATAATTTGGCGGGTAGGGGCTTAGGAAGTGGGGAGTGTTGGCAGATTGGAGGTGGACTCCTAGGGGGTCGAAGTGAGTTTTTCTTGCTCTCTTCTGTTGCTGGGTGGGATGGCAGAACTGACTGAGCCAGATTACTGGTCTTGTGGTGTCAGCCGATCCATCCAGTGCAGGGTCTGCAAAATATCTCAAGTACTGATCTTAGGTTTTACAATAGTGATGTTAGCCCCAGGAGCAATTTGGGGAGGCTTAGACCAATTTCTAATCTTGTAGCTAATTTGTTAGTCTCACAATGGCAGACTGGTCCCCAGGCAAGAAGGGGGTCCCCAGGCAAGAAGGGGGTCCCCAGGCAAGAAGAGCATCCCTAGGCAAGAAGGGGATCCATAGGCAAGAAGGGAGCTAATACCAGTTTTGTTTTAGAGTCAAACCATGAACTGAATTCCTTCCCAAAAGTTAGTTCAGCCTACACCCAGGGATGAACAAGGACAGCTTAAAGGTTAGAAGCAAGATGGAGTCAGGTCTGATTTTTTTCACTGTCATAATTTCCTCAGTTACAACTTTTGCAAAGGTGATTTCACCAGCTACTCAGGAGACTGGAGCAGGAGGGTCCCTTAAGCCCAGGTGGCTGTAGTATGCTATATTCATGCCTGTGAATAGCCACTATACTCTAGCCTATGTAACATAGCAAGATCCTGTCTCTAAAAAAATAAAAATAGGACCAGGCACAGCAGCTCATGCCTGTAATTTCAGGAGTATTGCTTGCAGCCAGAAGTTCAGGACTAGCCCAGGCAACATACAACTGAAGGGCATACAATATGCCCTTTATGTTTTTTAAAGACAGGTTCTCACTCTCACCCAGGCTGGAGTACAGTGGCATGATCACAGCACACTGTAGCCTCAATCTCCCAGGCTTAGGTGATCCTCCCACCTCAGCATTCCTAGTAGCTGGGACTGCAGGCACGTGCCACTGCCTGGCTAATTTTTTACAACAGAGGTCTTGCCATGCTGCCCAGGCTGGTCTTGAACTCCTGAGCCTCCTCCATTGCAATTCCCCTGTCTCAATAAATTGGCTCCGTCTAGGTAGCGGCAAGGTGAACTTGTTGGGCAGTTACACGGGGACTACAGGCGCACCACCACACCCAACTTAAAACTATGCATTTTTTTAAAGTGGTAAGAAATACAGCAAAATGTTAATAATGGTATCCTGTCTCTACAAAAAATTTAGAAAGTTAGCCAGTCATAGTGGTACATGCCTATATTCCTAGCTACTCTGGAGACTGAGGCAGAAAGATCATTGGAGTCCAGGAGTCTGAGGCTGCAGTAAACTATGATTTCACCACTGCACTCCAGCCTAGGTGACAGCAATACACTGTCTCTAAAAAATATTTAAAATATATATCTTAAAAAACCCAGAATTTAAAAATAAAACTATGGGGTCAGGCACAGTGGCTCATGCCTGTAATCCCAGCGCTTTGGGAGGCCAAGGCAGGCAGATTACTTGAGGTCAGGAGTTTGAGACCAGCCTGGCCAACATGGCAAAACCCCATCTATACTAAAAATACAAAAATTAGTCAAGCTTGGTGGCATGTGCCTGTAGTTCCAGCTACTTGGGAGGCTGAGGAAGGAGAATAGCTTGAACAGTGGAGGCAACAGGAAGTGAGACTCTGTCACAGTAAATAAATAAATAACAAAACTGTGGTCTTATTTTGAGTTCTGCTGTTTTATTCTTTAATAGACATACGTGTGTGTGTGTGTGTGTGTGTGTGTGTATATATATATATAACTAAAACCTACATGTATGGAAGTGTTCAGATGAGCAAAACAATGAATTTTTACCAAGTGAACACACTTGCATAGTCATTATCCAGATCAAGAAATGAAAATATCCTGAGTGAATTAATGTAAAGGAACAGAAAACCAAATACCACACCTTCTCACTTGTAAGTGGGAGCTAATACTGTGTGGCACTTAAGACATATTGCTGAGAATCCACTAAACTAGGAATTAGAAGACATGAGTTCTAGGTCCACATTTACCTCTTTATGTTGTATAACGTTGGACAAGATTACTTAATTCAAGCCTCTACTTCCTCGACTGGAAATTGTATAAAATAGCACCTGCACTATTCAGTTTATGGGATATTTATTTTTATTTTTATTTTTTTCGAGACAGGATTTCACCATCTTGGCCAGGCTGGTCTTGAACTCCTGACCTGTGATCCACCCGCCTTGGCCTCCCAAAGTGCTGGCCACGGTGCCTCGACAGTTTATGGGATATTTTAACTATCAACTGAAAATATCCTGTGAAAATACTTTCCAAAAAAGATTGTGCTTATCATATTATTTACAGTGTCAATAGGAAATGCCAATAATGCCCAACAATAGAATGACTAAAATAAATAACATATCCACATATTCAAATATTATGTAGCCATCAAAAATGTGTTTAAAAAAATAACTAATGAATGACGCAAGAAACTGCTTACATATAACATTGATTTTAAAGAGCAGGGCAGGCCAGATGCAATGGCTCACACCTGTAATTCCAGCACTTTGGGAGCCTGAAGCAGGAGGATTGCTTGAGCCCAGGAGTTCAAGACCAGCCTGGGCAACAGGCAAGACCTCTGTTGTAAAATATTAGCCAGGGGCGGTGGCACGTGCCTGCAGTCCCAGCTACTAGGAATGCTGAGGTGGGAGAATCACCCAAGCCTGGGAGATTGAGGCTGCAGTGTGCTGTGATCATACCACTGTACTCCAGCCTGGGCAAGAGTAAGAACGTGTCTTAAAAAAAAAAAAAAAAAAAAAAAAAAAAAAAAGGCAGGGCACCTAGTTGTGAACCCTTGGGCAAGGGCTAATGATGGGAGCAGGTACAAGGGGACTTCTGTGGGTCTTTACAATATTTGTATTTCTTTTTCCTTTCTAACTTAGATAATGGGGGCACACGTACAGGTTTGTTACCTGGACATATTGCATGATGCTGAGGTTTGGGGTATGATTGATCCCATCATCTAGGTATTGAGCACAGTACCCAACAATTTTTGAACCCTTCGATTCCTTGCTCCCTCCCCACTAGTAGTCGGTCCTCTGTGTCTACTGTTGCCATCGTTATGCCATTAAAATATCTGGAGACAACAGTAGCTGGAGAGGATGCGGAGAAATGGGAACACTTTTACATTGTTGGTGGGAGTGTAAATTAGTTCAACCATTGTAGAAGACAGTGTGGCGATTCCTTAAGGATCTAGAAATAAAAATTCCATTTGATCCTGGCAATCCCATTACTGAGTATATACTTAAAGGATTATAAATCATTCTATTGTAAAGACACGTGCACACATATGTTCATTGTGGCACTGTTTACAATAGCAAAGATCTGGAACCAACCCAAATGCCCATCAATGATAGACTGGACAAAGAAAATGTGGCACATATACACCATGGAATACTATGCAGCCATAAAAAATGATGAGTTTGTGTCCTTTGTAGGGACATGCATGAATCTGGAAACCATCATTCTCAGCAAACTGACACAAGAACAGAAAACCAAACACCGCATGTTCTCACTCATAGGCAGGTGTTGAACAATGAGAACACATGGGTGCAGAGAGGGGAACATCACACACTGGGATCTGTTGGTGGGTAGGGGGTAGGGGAGGGACAGCGGGGTATGGGGCGTTTGGGGAGGGATAACACTGGGAGAAATGCCTGATGTAGGTGATGTGGGGATGGAGACAGCAAACTACCATGGCATGTGTGTACCTATGCAACAATCCTGCAAGATCTGCACATGTACCCCAGGACTTAAAGTACAATTGAAAAAAAAAAAAAAAGAAACCTTTGAGAGAATATAGCACACCAGAGAGACTGCTGTTACGACTATGAGGAGGGTCATACCAACAGTTTGGCAGAAGCTCCTTGGCCAAAGTCCCATGAACCAAACCAACTAAAATTGAATAGATCAAAGAATGAGCCAGATGAGGAAGCCATTTGTTTTAACCAAGCAAACTGTTTATTTTTTCAGCTGAGTCTCTGCAATACCCAATGTATCTATCCATGTACGACAAGAAGTGTTATCACTTGCACAGACTCCTCCTACTCAGCTAGTAGGAAATCTGGCATCCTGTTACTGGATTAAATTAAAGCAGGAAGTGAGAACAAGTGGATCTTGAAGTGTAACCCTATAAAAGGGACCGCTAGTACAATTTAAACAACAGTTACGTTAGGGATGTTGCTAAATTTACCCACTAGATGGACTAAATAACCTCTTAGGTTATGTAAAGATTTGGATTTTGACAGGACAGATCCAACAGTTCATCAGATTACCTGCAGGAGCTGCTGACTATGCCAAGTGAAAAAGATAGGGAAAAAAAAAAAGTTCAGAGGGGTAAGAATCTTATTATGACAGACAGTCTTGTGCTGACACCTTGGGAAAAGCTATTTACAGCATGAAGTTATCATCTTCTTTCCCTGGTTTGCAGTTTGAATGTCTCTGCTTATGGCATCAGGTGTTTTGGTTAACTCCATGTGGCCCACACATGAGGAATGACTTGTGTTCCTTGAAATTTACAGTGAGTTGTCCAGTTTCAGCTTAGAGGGCTTTGGAAACAGAGCAGTTCTTGTTCTTAGTTGGAGAGTTGTAACCATATATTGGAGGAAAAGAGATGAATTCTAGAATCCAGTCTGCTCTACAAGAAGACAAGAAAAACTTGAAAACACCAGGCACAGTGGTTCACACCGGTAATCCCAGTGCTTTGGGAGGCCAAGGCAGGCGTATCATGAGGTCAGGAGTTCAAGACCATCTTGGCCAACATGGTGAAACCCAGTCTCTACTAAAATACAAAAAATTAGCTAGGCGTGGTGCATGCCTATAATCCCAGCTACTCAGGAGGCTGAGGCAGGAGAATCGCTTGAACCTGGGGAGGCGGGGGTTGCAGTGAGCCAAGATCGTGCC